CATTTGTCCAGGTTGGCAAGAAATTGTTTATCTTCTTAAACAAGAGCACTAGGTAGTCTATTGACTCAGTCTCCACTTCAAAGATCTCCACCACAACCTTCTCTAGCAGACAACTATTTATTCACCTGCTCAGCCTTTTCTTGGTCTCCCCAGTGACATTGGGACCAGCTTCATTGTGCTCCTCTTCATCTCTACAGGGAGGCACATGGCACAATCAAGAGCTCAGTCATTCACTTCACAGTTCAAGCTTCTGGACTTCCCAGCTTCTAAAGCAAACTTGAAGCTACAAGGATTCCAATTCTGGAAAATAAATGTTAATTCAAGAAAGCACAAGCTTTATGGCCCCACAATTGCCAGAGTTTAACGGTAAAGGAAATAATTGAAGGGACTGTTTGGTATGTATTTGCATATCTTAGGCATCAAGTTCTTTTCATAAAGCTGGACTCCCTAAATGGAGAGGAGGATACAGAATAATTCAGGCAAGATTGCAGATACTAGAGAGAAGCTGACTTCTGTAAGCATCGTAATGATAAGGAGCAGAAAATGCAAGTGTGGTGGCAGGAAACAGCATAGGATAACATGTAAATACTTGAAGATTCTATAGAAGAGTATGCAATTTAGGCAAGGTATAACTGGAGAAATTAATGCAGTGATATTTTGCACTAAACTACCCTGGGTTTTCACTTTGCCTGTCTAGGAGACACCTACATGGTATCAAAGGGACATGAAACTATACTATCACTAACAGGAGGCCACAGTATGCACTGTTAGATATGTGAAGACAGAATAAATTTGGCAGATGGCCTACATTTACGGATTAAATGGAAAATTGAATCCATTGGGCTCTGTGCCCCAAGGCCATTGTACTCTGCTGCCACTTACTGACCAAGAGGTACCTGAGTCACAAAATTCAGGGTCAATATCAGATACAGACCTCTTTGGTCTGGATCCAAGTGAGGATTTCCCAGTCTGCCATTAAACCTTAACAGAAATGAATCCAAGTTTCTGTAAGGACAGCCTTTCAGAGCCAGATTAAACACCCACAGCTAAAGAACTGCTGGAGTGAAAGGGGATTTTCAGGCCAAAAAAAAAAAAAAAAAAAGAAAGAAAAAACCCACCATTTATCTGTATTCCAAACCGATTGTCATCGAGCCCCAGATCACCTCTGAACCTGCTCCGTGGTGTTCCTTCCCACTGGCTCCAGGGTTTTCCACTCGAAACAAGGACAGACCGCAAGACTTACTCCACTTCTGAATTTCACTAGCAGTCCCGCAGAGCTCAGCTTGAAGAGAGCTTTTTCATAAAATTGGATTCGTTAAGGCAACGGAGTCACGTAAGGACGAGGGAGCAAAACGGGAAGAAGCAGTCCCTTGTACCAAGCGTTGGTTCTTCAACTAGCATTACCAGTTTTCCCAACAGCTGCTACTGCAACACGCACAGAACAAAAAACAGTGTGCTTTGAAACATCCAGACTCCCATCCTTTTACATCATACTGCCTTCCCACATATCTCCGATGCCATTGAAACTCTCAGATCATCCAGCTGAAGGGAGGTGTAAAGACTGATAATTAAAAGCCACCGCAAATCATCACTAAATCAAAAGCCTAGTTATAACATGCGCTTTGGGAAAGAGCGTGAAGAGCCAAACTGAATATTCAAGTCAGCACATAAAATCATTGGCTAATGTCTGAAATAAACCTCTTTTGTGATGCCCATTAGGATTGCTTTTGAGATGATGGGGAGAAAAATGTCTTCAAGATGAAATAAGTGTCATGAGCAGTTTTCTCCCCCCTTTTTTTTTTCTCTCCAATTCCATCTTTCTCCCTCTCTAAGTTTCATTTCAATCGGAACATCTGATTTTTATAAGTGAGCAAATCTGATGCATTGTCAAAGCCCGAAAGTGAAGAGTACTCAAAACACAGCGAGCGCTGCTGAAGAAGAGCTCTTTTGAAATATTGGTACCAACAGTTGCAGGGGTCTAAAAACCTCTAAAGCCCCGATCCAAAGGCTGGTGAGTCCCAGTGAGGCCCTCCATCCATTACTCCAGCGAGTTTTGCTCTGGACAAAGGCTGCAGGAAAAGCCTGAACTTGTGAAACTGAGGTTAATAGGATTTGTCTAAACATCTGGTCTTTGTCAACGTCAAGAGAAGTACTCCGAGATGGGCGTTATGGTATTGGCCCCAAACCGTTGTTATTTCTTATGAAACGGAGCATTTAAAAGTTTGTTGCGTACAAGGCTGTTTATTGGCTTCATTTATTGTTTCCGTGAGTTTCCCTTTCCAACACCCAGCTAGCAAAGAGCCACTAATAACATGCAGCAGATACGTTCTCAGACATTTACTGCCTACATTACACTGACAGCAGCAGTTGTCAGAGTTGTATGAAACTCTGCAGTCCGCACTACTGAAACAGGTCAATAATATGCTGGGAAACAGTCATGTCATACCTCCTTACCACCCTTCAATCCATCCTGTCAATTCATACTATTTGAAACATGTTCAAATAAGCTCTGCTGCAATTGAATTTTTTTTTAATCCTGATTACAATTATAATGCTAACAGGGCTTGTATTTGCAAAGAAAATTTAGGCCAGCAATTGTGAATTTGAGTTTGCTTGGCAGTGGCGATTCCCCGGCAACTTCTGAAACGCTGCCATTCTCATTAAAGATGCCTTCTTTTCAGGCAGCCAAGTCTGAGAAATGTTGGCCAAAAATGTGTGAATTAGTCAGTGACTCTGTGAGTAATCGGAAGGGAGGTATAATGACCCAGACTGCAGCCTCGCCACACAGGCTGCGCAGCTCGGTAGAAAATGTTAACAGCATTATTCATCTCGAAACATCACTGATCCCTCAGGAAATACTCGCAGTGTACAGCTTGGGGGGCAATGTCTGTCTTTCTGCTCATTCTGCCCAGGCTAAGCACCCTCACGGGACAAATGGTGGCTGGTAAACTGATGCCACATATCCCCAGTGTCACCATGTACTCCAGCGCACATTGGAAGAGGAGATCTCCAGGACTCATTGAGTGATAAGAAAGGATAATTTAATGAAATGGCATGAGGCCATGTCCCCTGAAACCAGCTAGCCAGTAATACCATCAATGACATGGCCACACTCATATCGCATCCTCCCGATGAGCCCTGCATGGGCTCTGCCCATGCAGGGCTCATCTGTAGTAGTTCTTGCCACAGAGAATTCAAGATAACAAAACCACAGCAGGGTCTGGGTATCACCTTCCCCAGAGTCATTAAAAAATTGCCTTCACCCAGCTAGATCCCTATAACTCCTGGCAGATATTTACCCTTCTGAGTTTGCCCATACTTCACAATATTACATCTCAAATCGTGTACTTGGGAAATCCTATACAGAAATATCTGTGATCACAGGACTCTGCTCAGTTCACTTTCTCTGCAAAACCCTTGTGCCTGAAAGCAGCAACAGAAACTGCCTCTACATACTATTCCCAAATTAGGGATGCAAATGGATGGGAGTTGTTTTTCTTCTAGCTCAAATCAGGAGCTTAAGGGTAGCTTGCTGTGAGCCGGGGATAACAACCATCACATCCTGTAAATGCAGGCTAAGAGATATGGTATTTGTTTACCTTGTACAAACATTTCACTCTCTAGATGACCCAAATGAGGGTTTAAAAGGTGCAACCATATCCCACGACTTTTCCATCACACGTTCTTAACTGTTTGCCGTCATGGATGGCATCGCTACAGCTCTGCTGCTCCAGAGTGATCCCTGTGGAGCACAGGGCCGCAGGCATCCCTCCCAAGGAGCTGCCCAACCCTGCGAGGAAGGACTGCTGCTGACAGGCGAAGCTCTGCAACGATAATGCACTAAATTCAATTGCTGTTGCTGAGATTGTGCCACTGAGATCTTATCACACTGAGAAACACACATGGAAGAGATTTAGACAAGTACGGTCACAGAAACGAGAGTAAAACGTTTGATCTAAATCTACCCTCATTAGAAAGAGTCCTCCAACGCCTTGTCTCTTAACAAGTTTGGGGCCAGCAGTGCTGTCCTCTGCTCTTCGGGCTGGCAGTCAGGCAGACCCTCCTCTATAGAGCTTGCTTTCTAAATAAGCTAGACAGAAGGTGTCTTTTAAGGTCATCACTGGAAACTCCTAGTTTGAATGATTATTTATACAACGAGCAGTCTCCTGAAAACAGCACTGGATCTACCTTCCTCATCCACATATTCTGGATCCACCTTTCTTTTGGCTTTATGAAGGCACAGGCTATGCCACTGTGAAACTGAATGAGGTGTTCCCATATTTTTAACTGGAACTCTATCATAAAAATTTATTCCTGGCTTCCATTACTCAGTCAGGAGCATTTCTTATAGCACTGGGCCACCTTCCAGGCATAACATCTACCAAAGGCATCAAGTATGTCCTAGTTTTTCTCAAAATGCAGCCCAGAGCAAAATGACTATAATACAGCAAGTGCAGGAATCTGTAATCACCAAGAGAAAAAAACTCTTCTTGCAAAGAGTTACTGCAAACCACAAGTAAAAACACTCAGATAAAACCGTTCAGAACCAGCAGTAGAGCCCAACTCAACCAGGGCACCCCCATTTTTCACAATACTCAATATTGCTAGATCAGTATATTCCTTTTTCCCCACTCACAACTAAGAGCCTGAATATCAGTCCTTCCAGCTTGCACTCCGAGGTGGGTGCCCACTGACTGGCATGGGACTTCCCAAGGCCCCAGGGTGCTTGAAGGAAGAGTCCAGTGCACTTGTACGAGCTGAAAAGCAGCACCTAAAACACAACACATTATCTAGTGAGTGATCTACGCTGCAGGAGATGAGCATGGTGAGGATGTTTCAGGGTATACCTCCTCAACCCCTACATCACTGGTCTCTGTGTAGCTGCAACAAGAACCTCTTGGCTAGGAGAGGGGACAAAACAGAGTATGATTGGGATGAAGTTTTCAAGCACAATCAATACTCCTACCAACATAGAACCACCTACTCCAGAGAGCTTTCCATCAGCCTGCAATGATCACCACCTACAATGGAAGGAAAAAAAGGCAGAAACAGTTATACTAATGCATATAACACATAATAATGATGGAAATAAAAATGTTCTTGGGTCATTTCTGACCCACCTCTCACATCCCTTTCAGATGCATTGCTGTCTGGGAGTGCTCAGGTTCACCAAGAGAAGCTTTAGCTGTGGTCTAATAGGCTCCATCCCCAGTCCTTTGGAAGAAAGATGCCTAAACAGCTCATCATTCCTCCAGGCGAGGAGAAATTGGCTTCTTTGCTTTGATCTAAAAGTGTCCTCTCCTCCTACTGACACCAAAATTTCCTCCTCTGTTATTGATTAACCTCCAGTCACCACCCACTCATACTCAGCCCCCCACACTACTAATTAAAGGCAACATCATAGCCCTTCAAAAAGAGAGAAACTTTAAAGTCTAAAATGAGAAGAGATGCTGATGGTGTAAGAAAATAACCAAACAGGATTGAAACCCCTAGAACACTGCAGTTTGCATTTGTGTCCAGCAGCTGCATTCATCCTCTTCCTTCTTGTTCCTGACCTTCCTTCAGAATAACAACAGGGGATGTTTTGTTTTCACAAAGAAAGATATAGACATAGAGTACAGACCTTCGGATGCCTAATCAGGTGTAAAACCATGACTTACTCTCAAATTTAGGATAAACTATCTCTGCAACTGCTGAACAACAGCCTGTAAATTGCCTATTGTTCAAAGGACTAATTGATCAAGGCCATGCCCAAAAACCACACAAACAATTAGTGCAGAGTTAATAGGTGTGTGAAAGGAGGTTGAGAGAATAAGGCTGTTATTACAGTTAATGTACGATCTAAAGAGAGTAGAGGTCTGGTTTTACTTAAAAGGGATTCTCCCTGTGATACTGTACAGGCTCCACAAAATCTATTTTCATTTCCTTTTGAGTAAAATGGGAAAAATACCATTTTCCTATTTGGTGGAGAGGTTTAGTTGACAGCAACTCAAATGAATTGACTTACATCCAACTTCCAAAATCCAAGCCTACTACACACCATTAGGCTTAGATTAAGCATGAGAAATTACAGCCTGCAAAGTAATTTCCTTGGAAAGTTGGAAGCACCCAAGAGCTAGACTTGGAATGCAAGCACCTTCTCAACCATAACCACACGGTTGCAATGGTGGCAGCCTAATCAACGCTGCATGCAATGCTCCCCAGGGTTTCCTGCGGTCCCCGTGCAGGCTGTGCAGCACGGCCAGCTCAGATGCTCCTTCTCTGAACTACATGCTGTGCATGCAGGGTATGGTTTCAAGGTATTAAATTACTTCTACACAACTGAGACCTTGTGTCCCACACAGGTAGCCAAGTTTTAATCTGCTCTCCCTTTGGAATAAGCAGATGTGGCTCATTCTTTTACAGCAAAACGAGGAGATTTTCAGTTGCAGCCCTTCCGATGGCAGGGCTGGACTAAAGGCACTGTGATCCTATGGAATAAGGTGCGCTATCTGTACTGTGTTTGTAAGTCTCTCTCTTGGGAGAGAGACTTTTGGGAAGCAGTTTTGACTCAGCACGTAGAACTCAATGGGGCTCTGAGGACAACCCTGCAGCCTGGTCAAGCATATCCTGATAGAGGCCAGTGCTGGTGGCCTCTGACAGGGCTGTCAGCAGCAGGGGCCAGACCAAGGTCTTGCAGCACCTTCTGCTCGAGTGAAAGGGACCCATGTTGTCACCAAAGCTGTGGTGGGACTGTAGGCTCCGTGTGTGCTCAAAGAGCAAGACACAGGGCACTGCATGTAGTGCTCCATTTATTAAGTTATTTTGCTTCCTCCTACAAGCTCCACAAAGGGAAGCAGCATGGAGCCACTCTGCGTCCTGAGCATGAGTCTGTACTTGGCTCTGACACGTTACAGCTGGGCCTGCTACCCACTACTGTGAGAAACGGCTTTCCATTATAAAAATTCACTTCAGGCTTGGCATGCAAAGCCTCAGAGGAATTTTTAAAGGAGGCTTGTTTCTCCCACACATCCCCTGCTTTAGCAGATTTATTATTATTATTATTCCTATTTAAGATTATAGACAAGTGGCTTTTAGAACATACAGTGTGTGACTGCTTTAACTTTTTTTAATATTGGCCAAGATGCTGTAGATGTGAAAAGTGCCTGCTGTACACGCAGAACATCTCCTTTCCCATCATCATCAGCAACACCATGAAATCCTACATAAAGTGAAAGCATATGCCAGAATATTAATGATAATAGATGGCTAGGCTGAAGTTGCCAACATGCATTTTTGCGTGTAGGTCAAGGAAGATAAAACACGAAGGAAAAACATACAGAGAAAAATGCTCTCAAAATAATTGCTTTCCGAGCAGGAACTGCACATTAAATCATAACTATGATGGATTTACTCACAGTCAAATTCTGCTCAAAATAGCAAGAGAGACATAAACGAGTATCCAGGAGGACCATCAGCCTCCACGTACCCTGGCTGTCACGTGGAGCTGCTGCTGCCCCCAGTTTCCATCTTCACCTGCCACTTGGATCCAAGACCTCTGTGGCTGAGGGAGAAGAAGGAGAAGGGACTTAAGACCTTCACACAGCCTTGGCTTTGCCTTTGCAAGCATTTTCTTTGTCAACATGGCCCCCTTTGCAAACAACTCAAAAACCTGCTTTGATAACAGTCTGATATTTGTGAGCGCTCCTGCCTTTGAAGCCCCAGCAGACTATGGAAAACGGAACAATCGGTCAAATCTCAGAGGAAAGCTTGAGTTAAGCCTGGAAAAAAAAAAAGACCACTTTCTCTGGCTTTGCTAAGTTCTAGGCCATGCAACCACAGGGAACTTCAGAGGGTCCTTCTGTCCGAAGCTGCAGCAGGTTGGCCCCAGACAGCTCTGCAGCCTCCATGCCTAACACCTTCCTCACTTCCCTAGCTCGGGAGCGAGATGCTGAACACATTACGTTGCTAACCACGGATGGTGCGAGTCATCGGAAGGGAGTGGAAACGACCAACACACTTTCACCTACTTCTGGACGCTTCACCGGCAAGCCAAGAGCTCAAACAAAACCCCAGCAGGCAGACAACTGCTGCAGACGTTGTGAGCCACAGGAACAGCTTACAGGTCACCAGGCCTTGCTCACTTCCATCCCTCCCACCCGGCTTTTTGTTTTCCTTCGTTTATATCCCAGCGGCCACGAGGCGTTCGCGGGGCCGCCGCTTCCCGCGCGCTCCGTGCGCAAGCGGCCGCGCGGTGGCACGCGCCGCCCGGGAGCCGTCCGCGCGCGCCGGCGTCACGCCGTGACCCCGCAGGGACCTGGCTAGCGGCCGCAGCCCTCGGGGACGGCTCCCCGCGGCGCCTTTGCTCGCGCTGCGCTCGCCCGGCGGGACGCGGCGGCCACGGGACGTTCCAGTGGCGCGGGTGGGCAAAGAGGAGGAGTGGGCGCCTGAGGGGGTGCAGTCACGGCGAGGTGCCCACCTGGGCCATGGAGAGGCTTTCTGGTGCCTCCTGGCCTCGGGGTGTCCTTGCTCTCAGGAAATACCCCTCACATCCACTGTTTGGAGCCCCAGACCACCTGGCTTCATACGCCTCACACCTCTAATCCGCTATACCTTAATTGCTGCAAAGTATAATCAGGAACACTGGAATTGTGATTTCGAGTGGCATGGCCTCAATTTTAATGCAAGCACCTATGTTAAGGCACCTCCAATCCGTAACATGAGTGATGGACTAGCAGGAGAGCCAAGCACGGAGCAGGCCCATTTGCTCGTGCCCAGCACTTCTCATTCCCAAGAAATGGCGTGAGAGGCACAAGAGAAGGCGCGAGGCCATCGAGGAGCCCCGCATCGAGCACACGTCGCTGCTGTTAGCCAGCTGTAATTGCTCTGAGCTAAAGGCACCTCAAGACATTTACGGGTTGTACAAAACGCTGGGGTTGCACGTCACAAGCTGGGGCTGTGCAAGACAGGACCTGTCCACAGCTCAGCTATGTGTCAGGCAGAGCGGGGAGAGAAGGCCCTCGGTGTTGATTAGTGCAGGAAAAGCCAACGCGCTGACATGGGGAGAAAGGAAACGCTGGGGAGACGTCTGGGCTGTCATCGCTGGGAGCCTGTGAGCACAACCGCGGTCATTACCAGAGCAGAACAATAAAGATCTTCCACAAGGGTCCTCCAAAATAATTGCTCAAGCAGAAATGCTACAAGAAGTAAAAGCTTTGCCTTTCTGTAATGTAAAATCCCAGGCTTTGCATAGCACAACTCCTGCTTATATAGTTATGCCATGTGCTACGCAACTGGGTAATACCAAAATATAAGTAAGTGGTTGAAAAGCTTGAACTAAAGACAGCCAAGACAGTATCCCCGTCTTGGAATGTAGCATTATTCTGATTTGCAGCAGAATGAACATTTGCAAAATTTCTTGTGACACAGGATGATTGCCCCATCTAAAAATTATCTGCTTAACGTCAGCACAAGGCATTTCCAAAATCAGATACTCCCTCCATGAAACCAACTAGCTCTGAATTAAATCAAGATGAAAAACTGCATTAAAATTTACAGCGAGCCTCTGATCGCATCCCACTGTGTCTTGGCAGAGCCTGTGGTCTCTGAACCCGGTGGCAAACCCACCAGGTCCCCCACAGCCCTGGGGCTTGGAGTCTCCCATGGCCTGTGCTGGTGGGCAGGAGCTGAGTGCCTCAGGTGCCTGATCTACTAATATAATTTTCACGGTGCCTGAAGTGACCTGAAGCTGATCTCCCAAGTGCTTAATTTACGCCTGGAAAGCGCATCTACTTTGTTAAGCGCGGGTCTGTCTGTCAAGAAGACGCACGGCCATCCTGCCCAGTGCTTGCAGAAGTGCCCAGATGGGGCATCAGCACAGGGCCGTGCTGGATGTGCTGCACACGCTTCCCCAGCCTCGCTGGCCTCATCCCCCAAGCCCAGGAGTGCTGCTGGTTCTGCTCCCCGTGATCTTCCTAGCACTTGAGGTCACTTGCCGAAGATGTTTCCACCTAACATGACCAACATGTGAGGGAGGGAGATGAACGCAACCAAAATCCGCTTGTTTAGATCCCCTGCCAGGCCAAAAACACACTTTCCAGCTGCTAGAAGAGCCAAATCATGTTCTGTTTGTACTAACTTCATTGTTACAATTGCATTTCCTGCGTTGTCCTGGGAGCTTCCTTGGATATAATCTTTTGTTTGTTTTAATTCAGAATCCCTGGGCAATTTCAAGTCAATTTGAATGCAGTAAAATCAGAAATACAAAAAAAAAAAAAAAAAAAAAAAAAAAAAAAAAAAAAAAAAAAAAAAAAACCACCATTCTTTCCCAGCAACATACCAATGAATTCCAGATTCAAAGAGAAACGTGGGAATAAGGCAGCTTAGGTATCATTACAGCCATCAGCAGTGCACGGCCAACATGCTGCAGTCCTGCTTGCACACCCAGGAGACAGGGAGCAGGGACGGGGCACCCACTCTGCAGGCTGTTTGAGCACCCACGCCAGGAGAAGAGGCTTAAGGGACACCCAGGGGTTGCTGCCAGCACCCAATGTGGGCAGGAGCAGCTACCGCCTCCGGGTACCTGCCGTGCTGCCGTGCCCGCTGAGCACAGCAAAGGGACCCGGCTCCACGTGGCTCCATGCTGGAGCAGTCCAGAAGAGAGGGAGAGGAGGGTGCTGGAAAGCCAGGAGCAACAGGAGGCTGCAGCGTGGAATTTCTTGCTGCAGAATCCTGGGGCTGTCGGGCCCCAACCTCCGAAAGAGGAAAGAGAGGACTCAGCACGAGCACCCCTGTCGGGAAGGGGGACGCGGCAGGGAGCAGACCTGGGGCAAGGCAGAGCACAAAGTGTTTCCTTTTTTGTCTGAATTGACATGCCGAATCCCAGCTGTACAAACAGGAGCTTGTTCCTGGCCCCAGTCAGTTGTCAGGGCACTTCAAATCCAACGCACGGGTTTGGAAGCTGGGCAAATCAATTTTTTATCAAGCGTGGTAGCTGAAAGTGCCGCCCCCTCTGCCTCCCCCAGCCTCCTCCGTGCAGGGCTGCATCTGGTGAGGAGCTGCCGCTCAGGATGAGCCCAATTAGGGAAGGGAGATTGTCATAATCTCAGTTGCACGGGAGAGATGAGAAAACTAAGGGTGTCATAGAGTGTCTGCTGGAATAAATTTACAAACCTAATCACCTCCCAGCATAGCCGGGCTGCCAGCCTGGGGGAAGGCGGCGCGGGGAGAGAAAGCCTTCAGCTCGCTGCAGGAGTATTAATTCACACTAAGAGGAACCAGACCTGTCCTTACCTGTAGCCTACCGCAAAGTGGGCATCCCAAAAGGGAATATTAATGCAAGAGCTCTGCAGGAGATGGAAACTGTGCAAAACCTCTTCCAAATGATGGAAATTAAACGTCGGAGTGGCAGAACCACTTGGTGTCTAGGGGAACAAAACAGCATCAGGCGCCTGGCAGAAGATGAGGCAGAGAAGCTCAGTGGAGCTGTCACGGTCTCCTGCTTACTGATCGTGACCAGGAGACCCGTACACTGACCTCTGCCTGAGATGCTTCTTTCTTCAGGGCAACCTCCTGCACCTGGATGTGCTCCCTGCACCTCACAGAGTGCCACAGGATGGTGCTTCTAATTCAGGGTTGACCAGGTACTTCTCCACACTTAATGAAACCCACTCTATGGAAACAAGGAAGGAAGTACCTATTGCTATAGGTATACCTATATGTATATACATAAACACCAGGCTTTGGGGAAGGGTGACACCTCTGGCACCCATTTTTAACAAGCTACTAACAGTTTGGACACAGCTTGAGATACAGCATGGAAAATAAGCAGCTCTTGACCCTGAGGACCTGAGCCCCAAGTGCCAGGGCTTATTATTAGTGCCAGGACACACGGGCTGCCATGCACGCAAGCTGTGATGGGGCGGCTGGACCGACCCACAGCACGTGCAGCAGAGCAGCTGCCTGCCCCGTTTGCACCGAGCCACACGTTTGGCTGAAGGGGCTTTAGGACAACAGACCAGACAGGCAGCACTGGGCCGTGCCAGGGTTAAACAAGTTCTGCACTGGGACACAATCCCCTGGAAGTTCAGCGTGCGGCTGCATGGAGACGTGTGCGGCTGCCGTCCGGCGTCGCGCCGGAGCAGGTCCCCGCGGGGCTGCTGCCCCCTCGTGTCAGCGCCGCACGGGTTGGGCGCGTGGGCAGCGTTGGGCCTGGGCTGTGTCCCTGTGTGCCCGGCGAGGGATGTGGTCCCAACGGAGACATCCTGCTCCCATCCATTGGGTGTCTGGCAAACACTCTGCCTGCTCCCTTAACCCTGACGACCCATTGCTGGAGCAAGGAAGGATGCCAAGGGATGCCAAGCTCGTGTGGAGCAGGATCAGGAGGAGGGATGAGGGCTCACCTGCTTTCCTGCCCCAGAGGGCTGTGCAATCGGCTGCCACGTTTCCAGCCTCACTTCCTTGCTGCCAACATTGCAGTGATGGAGCTTGGGTTTTCTGCGTGCTCAGCAGATAAGCTGTGAAAACGGCAGGTGAAAAGGTACAGCCATGGCCTCTGAGGTACCATCAAAGGATAAAATGTACTAGTGAAGACTGTTTTCCCCCAGCAGTTACCTGGCCAATCTCCCTAATTACCTGGATAGTGGGTATCCCAATTACCTGGATAGGTGGGGAAACAAATGGTTTCCCTTTTGTTATTAATGTCTCTGCTCCTGTGCAGCCCCACACTGTAGCAAGAGGTGAATCCACACACAGCATGACCAGTTCTCCATGGGCCCATGGAGCTGGGCCAGCCTGCACGGAGCAAACCCGGTCCCACGGCTCGGGAAGGGCCTGAAAGATGCGGCAGGCGGGCGGCAGGCGGAGCTGCTGCATTGCCAGAGGGGACTCGGGAGCGCGGGTCAGTCGCGTCCCGGCCGCGCAGGGCTGCCGAGCGCGGCTGCAGAGCGCGGCCGGCCGCAGAGCGCGGCCCGCAGCGCCGCGCAGCACCCCGGGAACCGCAGCTTGCTGCACGCCTGCACTGCAGGAGAGCACATACTACCAAATGTAATGGAATGCTGCATGCCTTCCATATAAATGCAGTATAAAAACATATATAAAGCTTAGAAATAGATTATATGTAGTGTCTATTACGTGATATATAAAAATGTGTATTATATGACATATAAAATGTAAAACACACTATATATTAACAACAACAACAAATACATGTTTATCACGGAATCCCAGAAAGGCTGAGATCGGAAAGGACCTCTAGGTATCCTCTACTCCAACCCTCTGCTCAAAGCAGGGACATCTAGAGAATGTGACACAGGATCACACCCAGGCATGTCTGAAGATCTATAAAGGAGACCTCGAAACCTCTCAGTGCAGCCTCTTCCAGTGCTTCCTAGGTTTCAATTTGTACCAATTCTGCTTTGGCACAGCCCCATGGGCCTCTAGGCTTGTCTCTCTCTCAACTCTAACCTTAGCCTTACCCCTAACCCTAGTCCTAACCCTAACACTAGCCCTAAAGCCTGAGGTCACCAGCCCCAGTGCAGCCAAGATGTTTCTGCCCACACGTACCACAGCCAGGCTGCTCTCTTACCCCCACTTTTTGCCAGTCGTTCCCCTTCCCCTGCTCGCTGCTGATGCCCTGAGCACCAGGCTGCTCTGCCTCACCTCGGCCACGTCACCTCCTCGGCCACAAAGCCCGCAGCAATTCCGACACCAGAGGGTTCTCTTGGCCGCCTCAGGGACCTGCAGGCAGCAGCACGAGGCTGTGCCGACGGTGGGGAGACGCAGAGCCGCTCCTGGGGAGCGCCACGGCTCCTGCACACGCTGAAACGCAGCGAGCTCCACGGCCTGTGCAAGAGGGGCTTCAATTATTCAGTGCCATACCATTAAATATGGATATACGACCGCGTTGTCTCATACTAGTCTTTTTAAAAACATGAAAGAAAATTGCACAGTGATTAAGGAAATGTAACAGTTGCAGAGATATGGATGGTCTAGAAAAAATATGAATCATTGTTACTGATTCCATCCTGGGGAGGGGAGAAGCGGAGCCCCTTTGCCCCTACAGATGCACGTACAGCACTGTGTTTTTATAAGGTATATCATGTACTTAAAATAAACGAATTATATATTCACCATTACAAGCACAGTTTTGATGCAGTTTTGCTTGGACTTAATATCCTGGAAGACCAAAGAATTCACGTTGGCAGCTAAACCTCACATTGTCACATTTATTTTCCCCCAATCTCTAAGTTATTCAGCGCTTTCCCCCTGCTGGATACTGATCTCATACCTAACAGCCTAAGCGCCCTCTTTCCCTTAGATAAAAGGGAATATGCGAAACAGGCTCAAACTTGAGCAACGGGCGCCTGCTGCCACATGTGCCACAGCTGGCCCTGGTCCCCGCTGTCCCCTCTCTGCTGCTTTCCAAACATTTTGCTCCGGCTCTGGAAAGTCCTGGATAGGTTTCCAGCATGCCGGGTAAGATTAACCACAGTCAAAGAGGTAACGTATCACCCTGCACTTTATTCAAAAGCTCAAAACTTTACAGAACACGGGAAAAGACGGTAAAGAATTTCAGTTCTCACTTTTCTAGGGAATTAAGTTGGGTTGTGCCCAGCTGGTGCATTCAAGTGCAGGGCACCACTTCAATGCAGAAGGGAGCTGCAGGAGCGCTGTGCACCACACGTCTCTGCTCCTCGTCACCTCTGCCAGCCTTGGACAGGCAGAGACCATCCCAAAGCAAGCCTGAGTTAGGAGATAGCAGGAGGCAATGAGGAGACACTTCCCAAAGAAATTCACATCTTCATGCAAAGCAGAATTCACATATATCTAAGAAGAAAATACCTTTCTATTTCTGGTTTTGGGGGAGGGTAGATACAATGATCAGATTTTGCTTTTCTTTGCAAAATTCCAGCCCCTCAGTCACGTCCTTTCTGCTTCTTTCCCTTTAAGATATAGTTAATCCTACTTGAGAAAAACAAAACTGTTGATCAAGTATGGAGTATTCAGGCATCCATTGCTTTTAAATTCAATTACCTCATTCCTCCTGTCCATTTTACCCTTCAGTATTCTGGCACTTCGCTCCCACACTTGAACTTCTCTTCTCTTCTTTAAAATCCAGTTAGGATTTCCATCATCCTGCTGATGACTGCACCCTGGTCTAACAAGGATTCGCCTGCTCATGGTTTTATTTTGTTAGGTACCATAAGGCCAGGCAATGGAAAAGTCTTACTGAAGCATAAACGTAGCTCAAGTGCTTCCAGTCGCTGTGTACAATGCTAATTTGGGAAAAGGCCAGTGGAGAAACATTTTCTTCAAAAATAATTGTTTGATTCACGCATAAAAATGACAACTCTGATGGCTTTTAAATACCAGTACTAGGGGATGAAGAAGGAACAGGGAGGGCTGCAAGGGCTGCAGTCCCGAGGCTGAGGACAGGCCCCTGCAGCGGCTGCTCTGCTGCCCGGTGGCCGCAGCTCACGGGAGTCAGCAGCTCCAACACCAGCTCAGCACATCGCAGGTCATTCCTTAACGTTTTATAACAGCACTGGGATTTGTATGGCTTATTCCTATTCATTGCATGATAATCCTCCAATCTACACTGCATTAAAAAAAAATCTTTCTGTAAATAGTGCTATTTTGCTTTGCTTTCAGTCTCCTTATATTACTCCATGGAAAGCAAACGTGTCTCTAGCTCAGTAAACCCTCTCCTGACATTTTTCCACAGTTTCAAAGGCAAGCTAAGCATCAGTGGTCACAGCACAAAGTGGCACAATATGCCAGTTGCCTTCTCTGTTTGCAGATTAAAGCATTTATCTCTCGCTTGGAAGCCATCAGTCCATCTGGCACATTTGTTTCCTGTCATATAAAGAATTCCTCCTCCTCCTCCTCCTCAGTTCCGTTTCCAGGGCTGGCTCTCGATGCTTGCGAGTGGAAGCCTGAAGCTCTCCGTGCGGCTCGTCCATCCCTCCCGGCTGCGGAAGGGGACAGATGGGCTCTATCCCAGGAGGCCGAGGTGACGCTGGGGCCAGTGGCTGGGACGGGGCCGGGCGCTGGCGGCTGCAGGAGGCTGCTCCGCAAATCCCGGCCGAAGCAGCTCAGCGGGGAGCGGGCACCGGCGGCGCTTCCCACCGCGCAGCCCGTGTCAACGTCGGTCTCTGCTTCCTGGCCTCCCGCCGGAGCCCCGCGCCGGGGGCACGCGGGACAACGGGGCACCGGGATGGCTGGCGCCGCTCTCCGGCCGCCCGGCACGGCCCCGGGCGCCCGGCTGCTCCGCTCCACGCCGGCCGGCTCCATCGGGAAGGGCACCGGGATGGGCTCATGGAGGAGGATGTCGGGGCCTGACTTCCTCTGCTGGTTGGAAAAGCCATCGCTTTTCTCGCTGTGCTTGGAGTTGTCTTGAAACTATGGAAGAAATTTTGAAAAGATCCCATTAAAACAGTGATTAAGATTTAGTCAATGTTCTCACCTAGCTTTAATGGGCTGAAATCACCAGAAACATAACACAGAAAGTCCCAGTAGAAGACAGCATAAGGAGTCCCACAAGATTGAGTGATGATAGAAGAAATTTAATGCAGATAAGTTCAAAGTTAGGCACATAGAGAAAAACAATGCCAGCTTCACACAAGAAATTATAAGTTTTGGATAGAGCATAACCCCAGGGTCTCCTCCTTTGATAGGGGGTCTCGTGGTAACGTCAGGTCAGTGTCTGACCGCAGTCTGTCTGGAAAGCAAACGAAATCTTCAGAGTTACTCCAAGAGAAACACAGTGCAGAGTTCCAGACGCGGTGCAGCCCCCTGACTATGCAGCACAGTATGTGTAAGGAAAAAAGCTACACTTGAATCGAGTTTCACCCCACCCGGCCATAAAACAGGAATTGCACAGGCTGTCCTGCTCAGTCCTTGGTGCAGAGAGGCTGTGCAAAACGCAGCTGAAGACACATCTGGGAAGCCTGGCGCTAGTGTGGGAGGTGGTCCTGCCTTCAGCAGAGACGGGCCAGGTGAAGGGTGGCAGGTCCTCCTGGCCCTGCACCCCTGCCCATGCCTGCTCCACCCCAAACGCCATCAGCTCTCAAACACTAAATAGACGCCCCACAAAGCCCTGGTGGAGATAAACAAACACACAGAGCTAAAGACATTAGTCCCAACACAAGATACCCCTTCAAGTTGTTCCTGTGGAGCATCGGGTGGGCAGCCGTGGCGTTCCCATGGCCCGCTGATCCCCACACCGATGTTTCCTGCTCCGGAGTTTTATTGCACAAGTGCCAGAGCTCATACATTGCAGCTCGGTTTGCTGCTCTTCCAGGAAAAACGTCAACATAGCAAAGCAGATAGAAGTTGCAAACAGGAACAGAGCAAAATGAGCCATCAATCATGCTGGCGTTCAGGGCACTTTGTCTTTTTTCCTCTCAGTTTATTAAGATTTTAACTCTAAAGAATTTGCAAAGTAACACAGAGTCACTAACAATCCCAGCCTGTTTTAAAACACAGGCAAAATGAAGTCAATTAATAAATCATTTGATCGTGAATGGATAAGCCAGGTGACTATGGAATGCCCAGTACCCAGCAAGTCAGCAGCTAACACCACTCTCAAGATCAAAGGTGTGAAATTTAAGCAATAGTGATCTCCATTAAACACTCGGAGAAAGGACAGAAACAAGAATGGTAATTAATAACTTAGGCAAAAATGAGAGGATATGTCTTAATTACTTCTCTGTTGAACTGAGTGACTTGCAAGTTATCTGTCCCCCAATAAAAAACAAGGAAAAAAGATCCCTGTAGGCTAGCGAAAATGATAATTCACTGTGGACGGAAGTCCACAGAGAGACCTGGGTTTAGCTAGGTCAGCAAGCTTATAAAAACTGGCAATATAGTTAAATACACCACAGGATGGGCAAATTATTTAAATATCCAAGTAACAATACAATAAGTATATGAGAAAAAGAAGAATGCTAACTGAGATTCTAAGTTTCAAAATACTATTCAAAAATCATTTAAATAGCTCTGACTAGTTATCATTTAATTTTGAGATAGTGTTTCAAATAAAAATCAATCAAATGTACACAATACTTCATCAACACTATATCTCCAAAATGACTTGCTTTGTGTGCAAAAATATTCTTTCAAAACCCTTTCTGGTAAGTTGTTACCTTGGAGCAAAGAACAGGCTGTCACGATCGCTTGATGAAAGCAGGAAAGGCAAGACATTAAACCAGCCTGCCCCAAAAAAGGATCAATACTTTCCATTTTGGGCAAGCAGCCATGGTGTTAAACTAACAACATCAAATATTCCAAGTATTTGTGCTTATAGTCATCAATAGCATCACAGCACAAGCAGATACTGATTGCTTCGGTCATAAATGCAAAAGAAAATACGAGCAGACAAAAATCTTAATTTCCATTCCGAAGCATAGCATTCCTCTCGGGAACAAGTCACCGGGACGCATGCGCCCCGCACGTACCTGAAGCAGAATCCTGTTCCCGTCGTAGTCCTGCGTGTGCCACCTGGTGCTGCTGATGGGCACGCAGGGATGCGGCAGGAGCGGCACGAGCCGGCCCATCTCCCGCACGCTGAACTCTAGGAGCGAGGCCTGGCAGGGCCGGGCGGCCGCGCCGGGGGGCAGCCGCTGCAGGCCGAGCTGCAGGGCGGCGCGGCCGGGCGCGCGCAGCGCCAGCACATGCAGGCCGCCATCGCCGCGCGCTGCCGCCACCCGCCGCGCGATCGTCTCGTAGAGCCGCACCGCGTCCTCGTAGCTCTCGAAGCTGCAGTAGAGGGTGACGCGGAGCGCCTCGGCGCCGCGGTGCGCCCGCCGCACGCCCCACACGGGCAGCTGCTCGCCCAGGCCGTAGAAGGGCTCGCGAGCGGCGCCGGCCGCGGGGCTCTGCCCCAGGGACGCTGGCAAGCGCTGGTAGCGCCATGGAGGGTGCTGGAAGATATCGTGGACCTGGCAAATGCGCTCTGCTCCCGAGTCCTCGTGCAGGAAAAGGAGGACGGACATGCCGGGAAAGCCACGGCTTCTCTTGCCGTGGCTGAAACTCTCATAATATTTCAACGGAGTCGCGCACTCAGACACAAGGAAGAGGCGGGTGCCCGGGCAGATCCACCCCAGCAGCCGGTCCAGGGTTTGCTGCAGAAGCGACGAACGCCCTGAATTGGCAAGAAGATGAACGGTCATCAGCAAAGGGTCTGCTCTGTCACCCATGGCAGAGGCACCTGGCAAAGAACACACACACACACGAGTGAATCAAGACAAAGCGGCGCTCCCCATTGCCTTCAGCCCCAACCGAGCTACGCAGCTCAGTGACCCGAGCACTGTGCTTTGAGACTCCCAAAGAACATCGTCTTGTCCAAGCTCTTCCACAACCCCATGCAATAAGCATGTATGCATATTTCATAAAAATGAGCTAGGTTAATGCATATTTCATCAAGTGAAACTGGTGAAGAGGGAAAGGCCCGTGGCTTGACCAAGGTCACACACACCATGGTGGAGCTCAGATGATGACTCAAGCTCCAGTCACTAACGACTCGTACCTGATACATCCAAAACCACCTTTGTGACCTAAATTTTTGCCCTTCCCAGAGTAAAACAGCAGAGAAAAAGAACCCTGAAATACAAATCAGTTCCCCTCCAGGACAAGGTCAACATACTTGCCAGTCAGCAGGGAGAAGGGAGGCTCCAGAGCTGGTAGAACCGCGGCCATGGGCACCTCAGGCGGCCGGTGCTGCCTCCGGCAGGCGCAGTGAGGCCCTGGCCTCCGAGATTCCCGGCATGTTTCCTCCCAGGCACAGGCTGGGCTCCCGCTCGCGCCGAGAGCCGCGGATCTTTGAGTCGCACCCTTCTGGCGCGTGCAGATAAGCTGCTCTTTAAAGCACGGAAGGAAAACAGGCCAACAAAGAGGGCGAAAAAAATCACAATGTGAGCACCAGTGATAACAGCAGGGCAGATGTGAATCCAGCTCGGGAAAGAAAGGAGCTCTGGGAAAACTCCTCGACTCCCAGTTAACGCTGTTCCACGCTAAAGGCAAACACCGCTCAGATGAAAACGTCTCGGTTTGTTATATATTGCGCTTAAAAGCCCACTGGCATCTTCGCCCCTTTCAGTGCCCTGTTTCCCTTTTTTCCCCTGCCATTTTGTTGTGTTTGAAAAGTTACAGAGCCGTGTGACTGGCAGCCCTAAGCAAGTCGCCAGGGTTTCTCCTTTGCTCCTTAGGCTTGCACATACTGGCATTTTTTACCTTATTGTGCAGACTACAACACGAATAGTGAAAACATTTCTTTCCAGTCCTCTTCTGGTCTTTTTGTTGTTGTTGTCAGGTCAGCCTCTGCTTACTGAACAGAATTACCCTCACTGCAGCCAATATTTAAATGAAACCCGGGGCTTCCAAGGATGTGTCCAGCTCCATCTAACTGGGAGCAAGGCACATCTTTCTCCTGACATACCCATCTCCTCCAGCAGCTAAGCACACAAAGCAATTCAACACTCTGAACTTGAACCACCATTTTTATTATCACCCCAGCTTTATTTGCAGCTGAACAAAACCTTCTGAGGTCTGAAGGGGCAAGAAGTTCTGCCCGTGGAGTCTTTTTTAAGAGATCATTCTTCCTGATAGAAGCACACAGTCATGTTTAAGGAGCACAGAGACCAATGAACAACCAACATAAAAGGTCAGACTAGCAAAAAAGGGAAAATAACAGCTTTGCTGACAGAGCCAAAGCTGCTGCAGCACTTCAGATCAAGCAATAGCAACTGCTGGGACAGACAAAAAGAAATTCCAACCTTGGGACAATTGCAGGAAAAGAATGAAGAGAACACTGCAATTATTCAGAGTGTCCAAGCACTATAAATGAGCCCCAAACAGCACAATCTTGCTAAAAGCTGCAAGAGGAAGTGATTCACCAGCACTTTACTGCAAGGACGGGTACAAAGGGGCGAGGAGTCATCTGCCTTCCTGCAGACGCGGAAAACAGTGGGAATTTTGCCTGAACAGGAACACACCACAGCTAAGAAGTTCATCAGGATGCGGCCGCTAGCAGGTAAGAGGAGCTCGGTTTCGGTGCTACCTGCTCTGCCAAGGGCCATTGCAACCAGGGCAGCAGCAGGCGGGAGGAGGAAAATGTCCAAGTGGATAAACATGGAATGACAAGCGTGGTGGGGAGAGCAGCCTGACTCCACACGCCTCGTGGGTGACACACACCTGATGAGCCCCGTCTGGGGCTTATCAGAGTTCTGTGAAAATGCCAGATTTGTGCACGGTGACAAGACCTAGGGTTAAAGAGGATCAAAATAACGTGCTTTTATTTATTTATTTTTGATTTGGTTAGAAACTGAAGCGCGAGCTTCCTTCTGATCCCGGAATGTAATTAGTTCTTGCCTTTCTCTCTCCTCCCCCTTCCCCCAGTTTTCCGGCCTGGCTGCCAAACGGAAAAGCACATTATTCATTAGTGACCTACTGAACACGCCAAGAACGATTTCGGTAAGAGATTAGAAAAAAAGCAGCTCAATCTGATGTGAATATTCAGCCCTCGGAGGGGCTCAGAGCCCTTCACTCGGACCGACACCGAGACGGATGGTGCTCAACCCATCACAGGATTGAACCACAGATTTGCAGCAACTTCAGGAACCCTTGCAACGATTCAGCCTTTGTATCCTAGCAGGTTTGGAAACTTCAGGGAGAGTGAGAACTACATAAGCCTCTCTGGGCTAGACCTCATAACATCCATTCAGTGCTGTGGGATTGCTAGCTTTTAAACGAAAATTAACCATTTATTTTACACCATTTTCAAGCTTTCTTGTAATGAGGATATTACATTCACTTGCTAGGCAACAATTAGCTATGGCATATGCAGCACGGAGATAAAAATCAGAATTAAGGTTTTCCTTGAAAACAGGAAGATTTTAAAGAGTGGGCCCAAAGCTCATGACTCCTTTACCAGCCTTTTTAAGGAAAATAAAACCCCAGTGATGAAAGGAGGAGAAAGAAAAATAAAATCTGACCTACCGTGTGTGTTAAAGCTGGTTTCTCTTCCCAAAGGTGCTCACTGCTTCTCTTCGGCCAGCTCCCAACCCAGCGAGGGTCTGTCAGCCAGTGCGGGGTGCAGGAAGCATGGGCAGCTCTCGCATGTGAGGAACCCCCCAAGAAACAGGGCGCAGGGAGGAGGAGGAAGAGGGAAAAAGAGGAAAGAGGGACCTTACGGCAGGGCCGGGTCCGCAGGCTGCTGCCTCCGAGTCCTGAGGTCACTGTGGCAAGGCTGGCGCGGCTCCTCCCCGGGCCGGGACACGGGGCTCCAGGCTCCTTCCCGCAGAAACGCTGCGCGGGCAGGGTTGGGTTTCAGCGCCCGCGGGACAGGAGATGCAAACGAAACGGAGGGTGCTGCTTCCAGCGGCCGGGGAACAACATCCCCCCGGCAGCCACGCAAGCACTAAACGTGGGATGGCCGGGATCAGAGTGGATTTACCTGATGGCTGAGTGATTGTGCTGAAGAAATCATGATAAATAATACTGGATACAGTATTACACAAAGGCTCTAAAGAGGGCTGCTATCACAAGTGCTTGCCCTAAGCAAGTTGCTATTCTGCCCAAAGGGAAGGGCAGTCAGGAAAGCGAGCGTGCTGCTGCAGCCCTAATAACAAGGAGAAGCCACCCGAGGATGCCGGAGCAGCTCCGAGGTGGCTGCAACACCACCCGTCCCCGAGCCCCGGCTCTGCTTCCTTAGGCGGCGGCAGCAGAGCAAGGAGAACAGAACAAGGGCCAAGCTGTAACCGGAGCCCAGACCAGCCCTCCTGCTCCTCATGCCTGCAGCCGGAGCAGACGCGTGCAGATACAGGGATGCCTGGGACACGAGCTGGCCTCCCTCCAGCTCCACTGCTGACATGTGCATGTCCATAACCATGCGCAAAGGAAACCTTCAGGAGAGCATCAGGAGCAAAAGCTCTTTCCATTCAAAGGAGCTGCTGTCTTGAGCTGCACTTTCCAAGCAGTTTGAACACAGGGAAATATGGAAAGCCTTCCAAATAAATGCATGTAACCAAAGAGGCACAGGTCTCTGTGCAGAAACTCCTACACAGTTGGGGCCCGGTTGCCAGCAGCCAGGTTTCCACATTGAGGGCTAGTGGCCTCGTGCCATGGCTTTTAGCGCTCACCTCTCAGCAAAGAGCTCTCACGCAGTGCTGTGAAGTGTGTTTTGCCCATTATAGCTTCCTATTAGTAACAAAAATCTCATAAAAAGCAGCAAGTGCTTGCCTGGCTGTGAGCTGCAGCCATGAGAGCAGAATTTACTAGAAAGCTTTGGATTTATGCAACCTGATGAACACAGCTTTTACACACAACTCCAGATCGGTCTGGACCGAGCATCACCAGCAAATTACATGGTACTTGCAGATCAATAGACATGATCCTAACTTCTTTCTTCTTCAATTTTCATTTTTGTTAAAATACTTTAGAAAAACCAAATCACTCCCTGTGCACATACCAAGACACTGGAAAAATAATAACCCATTATGAGGTTATGTCAGTAATTATCATTAGAGAATTAAGTCAAAGCAAGGTTAGGCAGAGCCAAAACCCAGCACAGCCCCAAGCAGGGCATGTGGGAGGCATCTGCCAGCCCCGGCTGGGGCTCCCCTCTGCCTGCAGAGCAGGGTGAGATCTGGCAGCTGCTACTGAGTGTGCAGGGGGTGATGAGCTCCTCACAAAACCTCGTCCCCAGATGCAAATGTTTGCACTAGGATGAGGAGCTATGCGCTGCAGCGGTAAGTTTGAGTCTCCACAGACTCATGCACTTGCAGAGCTGGGCCTTCCATTAGCACCCATCTCTACACCAGGACCATATATACATGCATTGATCTCCATAAGGTCTTCTCACCTCTGCCCCACTACGTTGGTGTGGTGTGAGGGAGGGCAGCACATGGGCATCCAGCTGAGATTCCAATCCAGGAATGGATTTGGATTCACTTTTGATAGATGTAGAAAATTAAGATTTTCTTATGAAAGAAAAAGCAGCAGATAAAAATCGCAGGGCATATTAAGGCAACATGAGGTTCTAACAACTGCTTCACTCTGAGCATATTAGCGCTCTCCTTCCCATCAGAGGCAGTGACACAGGCCTGTCTCTCCTGCACAGCAGCAAGTTCTCAGGCTTGAGGTGCTGAGAGGGGGCAGACAGTTTTTCAGTGCCTGCAGACCCAGACTGACGCTGTTGTGTTGGTTCTGTTTACATCTCATCTGAGAGATTTTCTCTGCAGGCACAAACGTGCTGCTGGGCTCTCCCCTGCAGGAAAGGGGGAACAAAATGTTGGCACCCAGTGGCCAGCAGAGATTCCTCTCCTCTGGGACTGCAGAAACCTCACCTGGGCAAAGGCTTCCGCTCCTCCATGTCCTCCAGGAACCCCCTCATGCAAAAAAACAAGCCGTGTTTTTGGTAGGCTGGCTGTGTTACCTGGGTATCAGCTTCTCTTGCACGTTGCCTGCACTGGCAGGCACTAGAGCTGCTGGAAATGCAGGTAAAGGAATGACCACAACGCTCTGCTCCGAGCATGCAGCCACACAACCCAACCAAGCGTGCTATTTGTCCTGGCAGAACACGACGGGGAGAGGCTTCTCCAGCAGTTAACTCTGCAGTGCAGCTGGCACCTGGCTATTCTGCATGTCCCTGTCTCCTTGAAGCTTTAGTAGCTTGTTGATCCCTCAAATCTTGGCTTAGTTTCAACAGCTGCAAAAAACCACAGCAATTCACCTAGATGCAAACGCAATGCTGAGC